ATATAATTTCGACCCATTATGATTGGATGAAATAAGAATAACAATCTTATTAAGATTTATAAAATTTACAGTAAGGATATTTCGACAGTTAATTATACAATGTCCAACAAAAAAACTACGTATGTTCTATATAAAAAAAACATTTAATTAATTCTTAATATTCTTTTTCTGTACATACAAATTTAAAAATAATTATGTTGTTGACATGTGTATTTAAACAGACTAACAGCGCTACATTCAGTGACGAATTTTGTTGCTCTTGCCCTGTAAATTTATCTTTTCCTTAAATGGTCTCTTATTAATTCGCACTTTAATTGCTTGTACTTAAATGACACCTTCATGAAAATTCTATAGAACATTGTTAACTCACTTAAATATGTCACTGGATTTATCGAATAGTTTTACGTGGGATGACTATATTGCGAGGATTGACGGTCACTCAGCTGATCCAAAGTGTTTCAAACAGGTATTTATCCTTTTCTTTATTTATGGCCCGGATTCTTTTTCAACTTTATCCACATCTTATTTTTTTGGTTTCCATCTTTAGCATATCATTCCTCCTCCGAACAACTTTGAAGTAAATTCTCTTTTGGAGGCGGTAGACCATAGAAGCGCAGCCCATGATGTGCCACTTGCAACACTTTCTATCGACAATATCAATGGTGCATCCGTACTTCTGGATGGCAATCCCAATATCAGCCCTTTTCTTGGGAGCGGTACGGGTCGGCGATCAATGATGAGTGGTATTGTACCCGGTAGTGGGGCACTTCGACGCTTTCGTGCAGCAGCATTTAGCCTTGGAAGGGTTGTTGAACTCTGGGGCCCTCGTGTACGCGTTAGACTTGTCGGCACGGATGACCGCAATGATTGTTTCTTCCTTGTTGACTCGGATCAAATTCGTCCCTACCCTTCTGGACATGATTTACAGCCCCCATTCGGTTATATGCATAATCACCTAGTTTGGGGTAGAACGCTTAAGAGAGCCATAGAGGATGCTATTTTTGCTAGCCCCAGTTGGTTTATCAAGGTAGGTTTTCTACTTTACTTAGACTAACTTGTGTTAATAATTTTTATTAATCTGGTAAATAATCTTCCATATAGCCTCCTCCATATCCTGAAGGAAATCTTTTTAAATTGGGTGATAAATTGGAGGCGGTGGATCGTCGAAACGCTCAGCTCATATGCCCTGCTTCCATTGGAGCAATATCTGGTCAACACGTACTAGTGAGCTTTGATGGATGGTCAGGTGCTTTTGATTATTGGACCAGATTTGATAGTCGTGATTTATTTCCTGTGGGATGGTGTCAGGCAGCAGGCCATCCTCTTCAGCCACCCGGGCCACAGGCCTCTAGGCCTAAACTGTCAATTTCCCCTTCCAATAACCACGACAGTCATCTTTCATGCAACCAACAAAATTCGAATTCCTTATCTTCATCTACTCATACTTCTACTGCATCCAGCAAACCCCGAAGACGCACTGGTGGTTCCAGTGAAAAGGTATTGTATTCACAAGTTTCTTTTTATTTGGATTGCTCCGAGGCATAGATAATGCTCGTTGCTGTTTGAACTCATATTGCTCTTTTACTTTTATGTATATACACAAATATAAATGAACTTTAATAATACCTATAATTGGTTTATTTTGTGTTGCGTAGATGGGAATGGTTGGGAATATTTTTACTCATTTTATTTTTTTATTTTAAATATCCTATTAGCCAGGATTAATGATTGCGAATATATTCAAAATAAATTGATGACTCATAAAACTTATAAAGTTATCTTATATGTAAATAGTTTTATACGCTCAAAATATTTTTCGCCCTCTATACTATCCTATGGTTTGTATGATGACTCCATTTTAAATGTTTATATTTTAACTTTTCAATTTATTTCAAATGGAATTTAATTTGTTTTATAATTTTAATAGGCATAGTGTATTACTTCGTGTAACAGCAAGAAAAGCTTTTTTTAAAAATTGAGTGAAGTTATTAGATCTCTTTTGAAACACGATTCAAACTGCCATTTAGTCTTTACTTCATGAGTTTCTTCAACGTTCACGACGGATTTTTGACTTTCTCGTTTATAATAGCCAATCATTTGCTAATTTATAAGTAATAATTAGTCATAAAGGATCTTTTTGGTATTGTAGTTAATTTATGAATCATATTCATCTGTTTTTACAAATAATTAAAATTAATAGATTACAGTTCTGTGAAACCAACAATAGGATACGCTTTATTTAATTTATTTATAGCTGGATTCAATCCCGTTTTAAAAAGCATACGGTTCTAATTTATTATTGTTTCCGCTACATAAATTCAAGCATATCCATTCATAGTCATTAATCTC